GGGTTTCTGCTGGGTCTGTTGTAATTTCACCCTTTTCATTCCTAATTGCATGGATTTGGGCCTTTTCTTTCCTTTTTCTGATAAGGTTGGCTAAGGGTTTTTCAATTTTGTTGATTCTTTTGAAGAACCAACTCTTGGCTTCATTGATTATTTGTATTGTTTTCTTAGTCTCCATTGCATTGATTTCTCCTCTGATCTTTATAATTTCCTCCCTTGTAGGAGCTTTGGGTTTGTCCTGCTCTTCTCTTTCTAGAAGCTTGAGGTTCAGCATCAGGTTGTTTAATTGGGCATGCTCTGTTTCCTAATATTATTATTCATTGCTATGAATTTCCCTCGTAAGCCCGCTTTCTTTGTGTCCCATAGATTCTGATATGTTGTATTGTCATTGTCATTTATTTGAAGGAACCGTCTGATTTCTTCTTTAATTTCCTCTGTGACCCATTGGTTATTCAGAAGTGTGTTGCTCAATTTCCACGTGTTTATGAAGGTTTTGCAGTTTCTTTTGCTGTTGATCTCCAATTTCCTTGCACTATGGTCTGATAATATACAGGGGATAACTTCAATTCCTTTGGACTTACCTAAATATGTTCTATGAGCGAGTATGTGGTCTATTTTGGAGAATGACCCGTGTGCAGCCAAAAAGAATGTGTATTCTGATTTTGTGGGGTGGAACACTCTGTAAACATCTGTTAGGTTCATATCTTCAATAGTTTGATTGAGTTCTAATATTTTATTGCTTGTTTTTTGTGTAGCTGATCTATCTTTTTGTGACAATGGGGTATTGAGGTCCCCCACTACTATTGTATTAGTGCTTATATGGTTTTTCATGTCCATTAGTATTAGTTTTATATAATTGGGTGCACTAGTGTTTGGTGCATAGATATTTGTGATTTTCATCACTTCCCCTTGGATCATTCCCTTTATAAGGATATAGTGTCCTTCTTTGTCTCTCTTAATCAGTGTGGGTTTGAAATTCACTTGGTCTGCAAAGAGGATAGCTACTCCCACTTTGTTTCGGGTTCCCGTCTCATGGAGTATTGTTTTCCACCCTTTAACTTTCAGTCTATGAGTTTGTTTTTAATTAAGTGTGTTTCTTGTATGCAACATATTGCTGGATCTTGCTTTTTGACCCATTCTGCCAGTCTATATCTTTTGATTAGTGAGTTGAGATCATTAACATTGATGGTTATAACTGATATGTATTGACTTATCATTGTCTTGACTTTTTATTTTTATTTGATCCTCCCCCTTTGCTTTTAATTTCTTGTTGTGCACAGTGGATTCATTCTGCTGGGCTTCCTGGGCTTGTGATCCTCGTCTTTTCCTAGCATTTTGTCTAAAATTTTTGCAGTGCTGGTTTGGTATTCATGAAGTTCCTTTGGTGCTCTTTGTCATGAAATTATCTTATTTCTCCATCCATTTTGAAAAATAGCTTTGCAGGGTACATCAATCTGGGCTGGAGGTTGTTTTCCCTTAGGGCTTGAAACACATTATGCCAAGCACTTCTTGCCTTGAGGGTTTGTACTGAGAAGTCTGCTGTGATTCTGATGGGCTTTCCTTTGTATGTGATTTGTTTCTTTTCTCCAACTACTTGTAGAATTTTGTTCTTCTCTTGGGTTTCTGGAATCTTAACAATTATATGCCTATGTGTAGATTTTTTTTATCAAGGCTAGTTGGAGTCCTCTATGCCTCACTTATCTGTATGTCAAGTTCTTTTCCCGTTTGGGAAGTTTTCTGCCATCACTTCTGTAAACAGTGTTTTTATGTCATCTGCACACTCTCCTGTTCCTTCATTGATTCCAATCAGTCTTATGTTATTTTTCTTTGCATCATCTACCAGCTGCTGGATTGATTTCTTGTGGTCCCTTAAAATTTTAAAGAATTTTTTCTTTTCCTGGTCACTAATTGTAATCTTATCTTCTGCATCTGAAATTCTGTCTTCACATTGGCTCATTCTGCTGCATAGACTTTCAATGGAGTTTTTAATCTCTTAGAAATCTGTTTGCATCTGTCTTTTGGATTCAATTTGCTTCCTATGTTGGCATTTCATCATGTTCCTCAGATTCTCTATTTTTTTATCTGTATCTTCTCTAGATTTATTAAACATGTCTTGCCCTATGGGCACAATCTTTGCTCTATGTGAGAAATTATTTCTGATTTCATTTTTTTCCAGATCCTCTTTCGTTGCTAGTTCAGGGAGTCCAGGTGGTTGAGTATCAGAGTGTTTCATCTTGTTTTCCTTTGGGGTTGCTGTAGGTGGTCTGGGATTCTGGTTCTGTGGTATGTTTACCTGTCTTCTCGTTTTGATGCGTGGGGGTGTGGGGGTAGGGTGGGTATGTGTTCCTGGCGCCTTCATGGCTCACCTCCTCTGGGCTCAGAGCCATGGTACGCCTACCTGGAAGCTTCCTCTATTCTGGGAGCTGCAGCACGACTACCCAGAAGCCTCCTGCTGCCTGGGAGCCATGGCGCGCTGATCTGGAGGTCTCCTCTGGGATTAGAGCCATGGCACACCTACCTGGAAGCTTCCTCTACTGTGTAGACTTTCAATGGAGTTTTTAATCTTCTGGAAATCTGTTTGCATTTCTTTTATGGATTCCATTTGTTTCCTATGTTAGGATTCCATCATGTTCTTCAGCTCCTCTCTAGATTTATCAATCATGTCTTACACTATGAGCACAATCTCTGCTGTTTATCTGAGAAATTATTTCTGATTTCTTTTTTTCCAGATCCTCTTTTGTTGCCAGTTCAGGGAATCCAGGTGGTTGAGTATTAGAGTGTTCTGTCTCATTTCCCTTTGGGCTTGCTGTAGGTGATCTGGAAGTCTGGATTTGAGACTTATTTACATGTCTTCTCATTTTGATGGGGGGGTGCACTTGGCGCCCACGTGGCTCACCTCCTCTGCACTGGGAGCGGTGGAAAGGTGACCAGGAGGCCCCTTTCTCTGTGCCAGGAGCAGTGGAATAGCGGCCCAGAAACCCCTTCCTCTGGGCTGGAAGTAGTGGAACCATTTTTTTTTTTTTTGGTACTAGGGCTCAACCTCAGGACCTTGCACTTTCGAGGCAGGCAGCAGCACCACTGAGGGAAATCCCTGGCCCTTCGGTGGATATTATATTGTGTTTTTGCTTTGCATTTCCCTGATAACCAGTGATGTTTGCCATTCTTTTTATATATTGGCCATTTGTATTTCTTCTTGTGAGAAACATCTATTCAAATCTTTATCCCATTTTTAATTGGTTTATTTGTTTTGTTTTCCTGCTCTTGATTATTTAGAAGTAGATAATCTAGTTGGTCATCTAATACCTTTGCTTCTCCTTATTCATATGACTTCCTTTTCAGTATTTTCAAAGCATGAAAAGAACACTAAAAAACGAAACCAAAATCTGTTATTGTGCTCTCACTCAATAATCCTTGAGATATCTCCACATAATAGTGAGTGTTGCAGAAATTTGAAGCTATTGGTTAAAATGAGGCTGGCTGATTTTATATAAGTTTTAATCATCCATGCTTCCCCACCATTACCCTAGGATCACTTGTACGTTTTGTATAAACAAAATAAAATGAACTACTGAGATCTCAGTTTCCAAGTTTGTAATTAGGCTATTCAAAGTAGCAATTATGTTGTGACAGTTAGATATTTTGCAGTATTGCTAATATATTCTGATAATTTTCAGCTCTCCTGTCAAGAATTTATTCAATGACCTTTGTTTTTTATTGTGTTTTTTTTATTTATTGCTAGATGGTTTCCGAAAGGTGATTGGATTGGCGCTTGAAAAGACTGGCCCGAATGCATCAGCTGTGGAATTTCAACATCCACTCTTCAAAAAGGGTGGAAAAAGCTTTCTAGAAAACATCAAGCGCAAAGTAGGAAGATCACTGTCTCACAGTTTTCTGTAAAAATTTGATTTGCAGTCAGTCTTGCCTTGATTTAAATATTTTACAGTTTCTGAAAGTGTTAAGTTTAATACTTGCTGGAATTTTCTAGCTGGAAACTCATTTGCTAGGTACTTTTTCTGGTTCTCTAGAAAGATGATCTTTAGATATCAATTTTTCAAGTTTTATTACTCTTCCTGGGGCATATTTTATTGCCTTTGTGTATTTTTACCATGCAGATGAAAATATAATGTTTTAGGAACTAGTCAGAGGAGACCAAGATAAGTTGCAAAGTAATAATTTTATTTTTTATATTTGTCTTAATAAGCAAAATAACTGCTGAGCCTATCTGCTTACATCCAGAGGTACTTATAGATCAAGACATATAAATAGTAACCCAGATTTTCATTCATGAGATATCTATGCATGTTGATATTTTTATGAACCTCATGTACAAATGGCATCTATGTACTGGGTGTTTAGGAACAAAAGCATGCTTTTGAATGTTGTTTAGACTAGTGGTTCTTAATGCATGATTTGCAAACCCATAGAGGTCTTAATACACTTTTGGGAGAACTATGAAGTAAAAAAGTATTTTTCTAATAGTATCGGGACATTGTTTGCTTTTGTCATTCTTTATTCTCTCATGAGTACAGTGGAATACTCCCAAGAATACATGACATCTTATTGTATCATCAATCTAATGTTCACAGTCTGTTAATGTTAATATTGTAAGGTTTAGAGAAATTAGTGAATATTTTATATTATATCAATTTTTAATTATAATATTGTATGTTTATTGAAATAACCCATATTAACAAAATGTTCTGAGGATTTCAAAAAATGTTAAGGGTGTAAAGGGATTCTAAGACCAAAGAACCACTAGAATAGGCCAAACTTGGTTCACAGAATACTATTTTCGTAATCTTAAAGCAACATAACTTCATTTTACTTGTAGCAACCTTACATTAACCTCCTACATTATATGAGGTAGCAGAATAACAGACAAAGATAAATTAAGTTAAATCAGAATCCAATCCCATTATAAAAATATTCATACATATAAACTTACTTATATTTAATAGTAGTTTATAGCTTTTACATGGGAAACAGTGGTTCTCATATACCATTAATTAGTACAACTGACATTATTGATACATTAGAAGAAATACCATATTTTTGTTTTCTTATAGAAGTAAACAAATCCCTCAAATGTTTTTTCTGCTATTGTGTTGACTTGTTAGCTTTTTAGTCCATAGGTTTAGTGAATATTTGGGAAATGATACATACCATTCATAGAGGAGATGATCAAGTTATGGGGTAAACAAATGACAGGCAATATCTTCATTATCACAGACTCAAAACAGGCATTGAATTTATTCCAAATGTAATTTCACCCTCTCCTGAATGCTAATAAAATACTGTATATCATCTGTGCTGCTCATTTAGCATTTATTACATACTACTTTTTATAGATAATCATTTTGTTTGTCTAAATATCTAACCATCTCTCCTGCTCAGTAAATTACATGGGGGATATTTGACATATCAGCTCTTTTTTCAGATACCTTTATAGCAGGTAAAAAAACAAGTTGAAAGTCTCTATCTACAATTCTCAAGTTTCAACTTGAGGGATGTAGAGTCTGTAGTTCCTAAGCTTTCAACTTAGTGAGAGAGATGATAATGTATGTAATAACTATTATATGTGGAAAGGTTTGCTTACTGTTATACAAGAGGTACACTTAAAAAAGACTACTGTTGTAGATTAATCATACCTCTTTCCTCTTTCATAAGGGCCCATGATGAAGTTGATGGTATTTCTAATCCCCCCAACTATATTTTGTTTCCACTGTAGGTGCCCTCAGAGAAAATGCAGCATGTGAAAATCTCAAATGAGATGCACAGAATGATGACTGAAGTGCAAGAGATGAATAACAAACAGAATAACATGGATGCCAAGTTTGAAAAACTGAAAAAGTAAGTGTTAATCAAGACTTCCAATGCCTATTTCCAAGATTTTGAAGTTGATTACCCCTGAGTTGAGAAACTGAATATTTGTTTTCTATGGCACTTTGGTATGCTTTCTTTTAAGAAAAACCACAACACTGAATCAAAAAATTTAGTATTTGGAGTGCTCTTAATGTTCCAATGCCTCAGATCATATGGTTCTGGCTGACGAACATACCACTGTGTAAATCAAAACTAAAATTACCAGTGGGCCGGGGATTTAGCTCAGTGGTACCACCGCCTTATAAGCGCAAAGTCCTGAGTTTGATCCCCGGTACCAAAAAAAAAA